GCAGGGGAAAGGTGACATCCTGCAGGCTCTCAGTCACCACAGAGCCAGCAATGCAGGACAGTGACGATGCAAACCTCCCCGCACACCTCCCCGGGCTGAGCATCGGGGAGTCTGACCGGCCCAGCCCGCTCCGTTCCTGGGAGAGGCGGCCGAGCACCGTCAGTGCTGCGGTTTGGCAGCGCAGCCCTCTGAGCCCACCGCTGCTCACCTAGCATGTTGGTTGGCATGCCCAGGAGGGTGTGCATCAGGTCGTGGACTTCTCGGTACCGCTGGATCACGTATGCCAGCTCTTCATCATCAACAAACTTGGGTGGCATCCGGGTGTCTGGAGAAACCTTCTGCAAATCCAAAGAGGTCCAAGTCAGCCCCTTCCAAATCTCAAGTTTCTGGTATCCTTCTTTAACGAACAGACATACGTGGCCCCTTCCATCAGCACATCTCCCCGCCCCAATGATGGGGGTCAGTATCATTTACATAGACGAAAACCAAGGTCCACACAGCACTGGTGACAAATCCAGCATTGTCCAACACCCAGCATCTCACCCCATCCCGACTCCCTCTCGTTCCCAGAGGGTTCCCCACAGGTTCCTCCATGGCTCCAATCTCCCTCTAAAGCGCACCCATGCTCCCAGCACAGGGATCAACTACAGCCGTTCGTACCCTGCGAAACCCCACACTCACATTGTTCTCCAAGAACCGGACGTACTCTCGGCCCAGCGAGCCATCCGGCAGCCCACGCAGCCTGGCCATGTCCAGGGTGGAGAGACGGATGCGAGGCCGTTCCCTGAAAGCGAAACACAGGTCAGTGAGTCTCCCAGTGAAACCCACAGCAGGGGGTCCTGGAGAAAAGGAGCCCCTGGAAACCCCCATCCCCTGCCTCTGCCCTTCCCAGGCATTTTCCTTGCAAGGATCCTGACTGCTCGCTGCAGGGATAGCGCCGTCCTTATTTCTGTTGCTGAGGCTGGGACGAAAATTGCTTAAAGGATCTACCTGAAGCCTTGGCAATAAAAGAGCTCTCATCTTGCACCCCTGTAAAACTCTGGTTGGAAAAACACCGGTGTCCCCTGCACTAAAATGCTCCTGCGTGGGCTGCTGGCCAGGCACAGCCTGCAACAGCCGGCCCTGGGGGAGCAGAGCTCTTTAGCGTCCCTGCAAAGCAGCCAGGGCTTCAAAGGAACAACCCCAAAGAGGGAAGGGAATTTGTTCTAAGTGCAGGTTTAACTTCTCTCCTGCTCAGGCTTTCACCACCAGCCACGTGGCAGCGACGCACGGAAAAGTCTTCTCTCCAGGTTGTTGGCAAACAGGTGCCCCACAGCCCTGGAACTAAACAAAAGCCCTTTTATTTCCATGCACGGGATAAATTCTTCCCATGATAAAAGCCCTTCAGTGGATCCAGGAGCTGCTCAGCTCCTGGAGCAGAGGAGCCAGGGAGATAAGCAGGACTCGCACCAGCTTTACCCTGGCCGCAGATGCTTCCTTGTGTATTTGGTGTCAAAGGGACCTCAGCAGCTTGGAGGATTAAAAGAAACACTTGTGTGCACAAATCGGACCACTGCAAATCCCTGCAATACCACAGGGCAAGGTGCAGGTGGGGAACGTCTCTCCCCAGCCCTCGGTGCCTTTGCTGTCCCCTCTCCTTAGGCAGTTCCTCAACACCATCCTGGTGCTCCGTGTGCTTTGCCGGGTCAGTGTCTGGAGCCAGGATCAGGCTGCTCCGCACAAACATATGGCAAAAAGCAGCTTTTCCCCAGCCCCTTCATGGTACAACCCGAACGATACACAAGTGGCAGGCGTGACACATAACAAGGAGCGGGGAGAAGGCAAGTAAATAAGCAATAAGATATTGGTTAATAAGAGACTCATTAAGTCCCTCCTGGTCCCTGCAGGCATGGAAGCAAAAGTGATCAAGTCTTAACACAGAAGACAAGAGAAGTGGCCTCATTTCACAGCTTGGGGAGATGCCCGTGGGCGCCAGGAAAGAAAATACGGAGATGTCTAAGGAGGAGGCAGACCAGCAGAGACGAAGTCTCCAATGCAAGAAGATGCAGCAGCAGGCGCAGGGGAGAAATCCATGGACGTGCTGGGTTTTCATCACTGCTCAGCATCCACCTCCGTGGACTTCTCCCCTGCGCCTGCTGCTGCATCTCCTTGCATTGGCACCTGCCAGTTCCAGCAGCGAAGCGGAACAGACAGACAGCAGCGCCTGAAATAGGGCTGGGCCCAGCGGCTGCTGTGCTCTTGCCCTTAGACTTGCCGCGGGGCTCTCGTGATCGTTAAAAATAAAGTAAAATAAACAACCTGGAGGGTTAGAGCTAACAAAATGCTTGTGCTGCTTTCAAGCCAGGGAGCACAGGGCTCTCCCTTCATGGTGCCCAAGAAACGTGCCTGGCCTTCTGTCTTCCCTCCCCACCACGAACCACGCAGCAAGGGAGGAAGGGAGGGATGCGGAGGGACGCACTGGAGGATGCGGTAACCTTCAGGGTGGTGTTTCATCTTGTCTCGCAGGTTGGGCAGGGCAAGGCAGCCCGTGGTCTCCCCAAGGACTGCCACCATGTCTGAAAGAAAGACCAGAGAATGACCCAAGAGTGGTTTTCGCAACACCCAGGTGTCCTCGGTTGGCAGGTGAGGAAATGGGGCAACGAACCCCTTGGCCAGGAGCAGGCAGGAAGCCTGTGGCAAAGCAGGGACCTGACGAACCACGGATCTTCAGCCTCAGGGCAGCTCTGCCCTGGTGTCACCCACAGGGAGGGACGTAGGAGCAGGCGTGAGGCATGGGGGACCAGGGAGGAATGAAATGGGGCTGGGTGGCATCATAGGGGGTCAGGAGGAGATCACTGGGGGTGTTTGGGGTTCCTTAGCCCCACTCTTCCACAGCCGCCTGCCCTGGGCCAGGTCTCAGCCCTGCACTTGCCCCATTACTAGATGTCTCACCCAACAGAAGGAGAAATAAAGTCCCCTGAGAAGCTCCCAGGAGACACGGGGCAGGATTTGCTGGACGTTAATGAGAACCCTGGGTGGAACGAGCTCCCCTCGCTCGGCTTACCGTGTCTGTAGGGGTCATAGAGAGCCATAAACGCCGAGCCGCCAGCCAGCAGCGCTTTCTGCAGCGGGCTCGTGGGGATGTGCCCGGGGTACAGCTGGTAGCGCCCTTCTTCCTCCTCCTCCTCCTCGCCGCCGCCGGTAAGGCACGACCGGCACCGGGACGGGGGGTGGGACCGGGACCCCGGACGGGGGAACCGGGACCGGCAG